ATAAGCCTTTTTTTTTCTCTTGTGGGACACCTTATACCATTCATTTGAGTCCTACGTAGAATCCATCACAACCAAAACCTCCTTTCCCTTCAAGAACAGCACCTGAGCTATCTTTAAAGGGATATAGTGACTCCATTCCTGAACTGTGTCCCCATGTCATTGTGGGGAGGATCCCATTGTGGCAGCAGGTAGCCTGGCTGGAGAGGCACTAAGGGTTGGCACAAGTTTTTGTTGTTCCTGTTCTGCTAAGCTTCAAGGACATTCTTCAAATTCCTTTCTCCCAGCCCAGTTTTTTGATAACCCATAAATAGCTTCTTTTCAAACACAATGCTGAAAGCCCCAAGTAATGAGCCAAGAGTGAAAATGTTTCAGTATTTAAGCATTTCATTGAACTTGTGGAGGCCAAAAGCTTCAGTGCTCTATTCAGACTTAAAATAAAAAACAAAACCAAAAACATATTCAAGAAATGCTATTTCCTTCCCTTGATTCCCATAAAACAGGGCCGTTTTCCTTCAGTCATCACAAATATACCTATGGAGCACAAAAGGTCATGAAAATAGCAAGAATGAGCTGAGCTGCAGCAGCTCTGTGTTCTTTCATGAAGTCAGCTTGGAGATCATGGCCAGGGTTCTCACATTCAGATACCTAAATATGGATAGAGCTGTGCATACTCACCATGGCTGAATTGCCAGGAGCCTTTATGTTCAGAGCTGGAATTTGATCAACAATTTCTAAAAAATTATCTGTGATGTTTAATTTTGGGCACCAAAAAGCAAATCTATTTCAGAACACAAGTTCCTTATGGAAATATTGAGATTTAACTTCTTTCATTGGATTGCTTTGTTCCATGACTGTGAAGGCAAGACCAGGGAGCAGTGACACTGAGCTTTCTCAGTATTAATATTGTATCCTGTTCATTCAGCACATCCTCTTAGCAACATGAAGTAAATTTTTTGGCTTTAAGGCAAAGCAGTGTTTTCAGAGAAAGCAATTTCCAAAAGGAAAGAAAAATGTTTTGCCTTCCTGAAGACTTTCCACCTGTGCCCATATGTGTCATGTTAACTGCCCCACTCAGCACAAGTCCTGCTGTAGTCTCTGGGATGCCCTCCTGCTGAACCTTGTGCCACTGGTTAGCATTATTATCAGCAATTTAATGTCACTACATGATAATCCATGGATAATAACAGAATAAAATACCTGTTATCAACTTGGCTGTGGGATCTAGAAATGCCGGCTGGTCTTTTTTATCCTGTCAAATCTAAGCCCTCTGTACCACAACTAACATTTTTGCATTAAATGGCCCTGAGTATCAGTGATATTTATTCACCCCCTAACCTAGCCTTACTCTGAAGCATGTGTTTACCTTTCTACCTGGTAGTATTCCTTTTAAATGATACAACCTGTATGATTAGTTTTAGCACAGGATAAATTGCCGCAGTAGATGAGGGTCTCCAGGAGAAACACCCTCTCCTTCCCTGCTCTCTGCATCCCATCCATTCTGGAGGAGACTAAGAGATTGAAGACATATTGCACCCATTTTGGTGATAGCTGCTATAAATGTTAAGTGGCCTGTGAGGCTGGTAATATCCTGCAGAAAGCAGCCACGATAATAAGTCATGACAAAAGTACTAGAAATGCCTCACAACTTGTCAGCTAATGTGTCTTTGCTGAGGAAATAAGCACAAGGAGCAGAAAACTCACTTCCAGTCTGGTCACTCTCACATAACTTTCTTTCACTGACTAGGAGGTAGTTGAAGGTGCAATTAGATCTTGTGATTGTTTGGCTGCCTGTCTCCGGGCATGGTACTACTCTCTGCAGTCCACTGAAGTGCAGCCTAGGAATTCAGTGGTGGGACATTCCCATCCCCACTTTGCAGAAAAAATACCATCTGTTACCCCTGCTCAGGATGCTGCCATCACTTCTGCTTCCCAGCCAGGGAGAGGCTTGTCCCTCCCTGAGGTCTCCACTCCCGCTTGCCCCAGTGCTGTGATGTCATGGACTGACACCTGGAAGAGCTTGTTTTCCTGGACTGGCTCTGTCTCCTGGTTCTCCCCTAATAAAATGACTTGTTGGTTTAAGATGGTGTCTCTCAAGTTTTCTTCCAACTTTAGGAAATTAGATTTGTTTTTCAACTTGATCTGTATCTCTGAGAGTTTGACCAGTTTCTCAATCAAATGCAAGACCAAACATTGTGACATTTTTCTTCCTTCTGTGGGATGTAGATCAAACTTTTTCCAAACATCTAGCTACTTTTAGTAGTAGAATTTTAATCATTCACTCACACATCATTAAGGATATAAAAATGGGCAGGAGTTGTGAAAGATGTGGCCACTAAATACTTGACGAAGACCTTCAGCTGGTAAAAATGGCATTTCTCCAGCTGTACAGAGAGTGCTGCAGCTGTAGAGCAGCTGAGCAACCAACCCTTGTGGTGCCTGGGCCACAGGGACCTGGCACAGTGTCTGTCACAGTGGCTGGAGAGTGCCTGTGGGTCACAGTGACAAGCTGGAAAGGCAGGCAGTAGAGGCATCCTCAGCCACACCAGCCTGGAGTCAAGACAAACCCAGGTTCACCCTGTTTGAAGGAATGCCGAGAACTACTCCTAACACAGAAAAATGGGTGCACCTTTATGCACTTTGCAACATCGGGCCGACAAACATGATAAAACTGCAAGAGGACAGACTAACTCTAAAAAGACTACCAGGTGCTTCCCCGTTGCTGAGCTGTGTTACTTGAGGAGGTGCCCTATGGTTGCAGTGATGGGATCTCTGAAGTAGCTCATCACAGTTTCACATGTTACTGAGCAAGGGTTTTGGTTTAGCATGTGTAACTACTTCTGCCTCCTGCTCCCAGATGGTATCTCATGATACCTAAATCTAAGAGTCAAATAAGAATTCAGATTAATTAATTATTAATAGTTGGAGATAAAATATATATTTTTCCATTTTTTTGAGATAAAAACTAATATAAAACAGTCTCACCTTCAGAAGTAAGACGGGCTCTAGTATAGCACTCAGCAGTAGTTTAGGCTTACAGACATAAAGTCCCAGCTGTACTGAAAGGAGAAAGTGATGCTGGCAACTGTTTGACTATCAGTCAGGAAAAGCAATCCCCTCCAGGCCAATGTGGGTACGATGGTGAAGAGAGTATCTTTGCAGTGATGATATTAATAGCTCATTTGCAAATTTCTACCCAAATCTATTCACTTCAAAAGCTCAGCTTGGGGACCAAGAGAGATATTTTTCAACAAAACATTAGTCTCAATTAACTAAATGTAACCAAGATAAATGAGCTGAAAAATCAGCAGCAGATAAAACTGGTGAGGCCATTAAATCTATAAAGGGAAGATGCTGAAACTTGGAAGGCACACGAATACAATCCTGCAAGTATTCCAAGGCAGGGTCAGAAAGGGATAATGAGGCCCTGCCAGGCCGGAGATGCTGAGAGGCCAGACGGTATTGACACAGACAGTCAAACAACAGTGCAGCCCACAGCAAACACTGTGCACTAAGGTGGGAAAGAATTTTAATGAGCAATTTCAGTCTCATACATGCTATGAAAAAAGGACTTGGCACTGTTCCCAATGACAGTGCCCTACAGATTAGAAACTAAATCACAGCATCCTCAGGGGAGGATGAAAAGAGATAGCAATAGAGTATCTTTCTTTTTTCCTTTGATCCTGATATACTCACAGTAACATGTGTTTACAAGGGCTACATGGGAGTAAAAAGAGCAAGCTGAAGAATACAAATAAAATAAAATAAAATAAAATAATGTAGTAGAATAGAACAGATCAACAATAAAGTAATTTTAGCTGATTTTAAGGCATTACCCCAAAGTTTTATGAACACTTATAGCAGGTCATGCACTCTTAGGTAAAGAGTAACTTATTTAGTAAATAGGGCCCCTTTAAAAAACTATTTTGTTCCTCAGTTCTCTCAGAGGAGGCAGATGTACAGAAGCAAGTAATAACTTGTGGGATGACAGGTTCTGCCCTCAAAAACACCATGGAGGAACCGGCATGTACATTGGAGGCAAAAGGAACAAAACTCTCTTTAAGGCATCAGGAGGCATCAAAAAGCTCAGCTGCCGCCTGCAAAATATCTGCAATATGTTATCAGCCCAGGGTAAATGAGTCAGATGCTTCCCCCAGGAGCCATTACACCCCAGGCGGGCTGGGAGCGGGGCCCGGCAGATGGCTGCTGGGGAAGCCTTTCTGCCCGGAAAACTGGGAATGAGAAGTGCGTGCCCCCGAGCGCAGCCGATCTCTCAATGACTGACTCGCGGCTGCTCCGTCCCCAGGCCCCCGTGCCGGGAGCGCTCCCACCCCGGGCGGTGCCAGCATCAGAGCTGTCTTTGCTCTCCCGAGCAGAGCACAGGCTGCCACGGTCTTCCCGGCTTTGACCCGCTTTAGGCTACGAAAGTATGATGTGGGAAGTCGGCAAAGCTGCTGAAAAAGCCTACTATCACCATCGAATGAGAAATGCGCACCTTATTTCCCCAGCTGTGCACAACGATGTGCCACGTAAGCCCTCCAGGAGAGCAACATTTCTAGTTTCATGAGCGATTGTGCTACCACGCTATTGTGGGCTCGGCCCCCTTGTGAGAGCAATTCCCCAGCCAAGCTGCGGAGCCAGGGAAGGCCAGTTTGCTTCATCTGTTACTGCCACGGCTTGTTAAAAGGACAGATCCTCTCCCTGCTGCGCCGTTCATTTCCATTTGATCCTGTTCATTATTTCTAACCAGCTTTTTATAAATCAGTGTCCTGCAAGAAACCTCGAAACCGAACGTAATGGAGACCTGGGCATGTACAGTGCTCATATCCAGACAAAGAAATTCCCGTTAAACTGCAGATGTCTCTGTGTGGCACTGAATGTGCAACCTCGCTGCTGTTCATGTGGCTTCAAACACAGGTCTTCAGCAACCCTGAGCCAGTGCATGCAGCAAGGATCATCTTGAGTGTCACTTGGCATCAAACAGACACATTCGTCCTTTCAAACTCTCCTATTGAAATAATCAGCAACTGGAACACTTGAAAGCAACTAAGTCTTTGAAAGAAAAGCTATGCAAGTTCTTTGTTCCCCCACAAACTTGAGATTACCGATATTTTTCTACCTATTTGGAGAGGTTATCATCATTTTTGAAAACATAAGGTAAATCTTTTAGAGAAAAGGCTTTCAACAATTTAGAGGTTTTATTTTTCTCCAGGTAGAGCCAAAAACCTTCAGTGTTTTCTACATCAGTGTCTTCCCTTAGGTTTTTCACTTAAAAATCAAAGCGATCAAATTTTGCCTTGGTAGATTATTTCTATTATTTATTTGTGCATTTTCCTGTAAACAAGAGTGACTGCTTAATGGAAAGTTGTCTCCGGTGTTTCTCAAAGTAGAAAGTAGCTGCTGTCCCAGAGGCAGCAATAATTGCTTGAATGGCAATGAATAATTGCCTGGTAACAGCCAGTGCAGGGCTTTGCTTTTCACTGGGAACCTGTTCCCTACACAGAGACTAATTAGCTACTGCCGAAAGGAAAATGAAAATTGCAGAGCTGCTGTCCACTCTTACTCCCAGTGTTTTGCAAGGTGTTTCCTGACACCTCCCAGTCTCAGACCAGCCATAGCCTGAGTCCAAAGTCCTCCTTAGCATGTTTGGCCACCTGCTCTATACTCTTCCTCTGCGAAAGGATTTAAAACCACACCGCAGTTTTCCTTTCTCTAGAGCAAAATAAAATCTTCAATCCTCAGCTAGCATGGATGGGCTCTTCCAACTGGGCAAGGGGCTTTTGGTTAATCAGCAAGTGGTGGGGCTGAATTGCTGGGGAGGCACTGAGCCATCACTTTGGTCACTGTACTTCTAGCAAAATGTAAGGGAGAAGTGGATGGGACAGACAGACACATAGCTCCACTTTGTGGGCCAAGCACCCAGCTCTCCTCACTAAGGGCTGTCATGCCAGGTTGACTTTGCCTCAGAGACTTTAGGAAATCAAGAGTTTAGATCAAATCTCTCTCTGCTGGGTTATAATACAGTGCTTTCTGGGAGAAATAAAGGCCCAGCTCTAAGAGCTACATAGATACACAAATGCTCAGAGAAGTTATTAGGAGGAAATTTCAGGAATAACTTATCTGTGGTGACATAATTAAATACTATATTATAACGTGCATAAATAGGAAAACTGAGCTAAGGCTGCCTTGGAAGATATGACTTGGTTATTTCCTAGTAACTGAATGTTTGACTTTGGAAGTGTAGCACTTCTTTACCCAAGCTTTCCCGTGGCATATCAGTAGAGAACTTCAGTAGCTTCAGTCACAGGCTTGACAAGTATCTCCAGTGACCATGTCCCTTGTTGTCTTTCAGCTTCATTACACACAGCAAGCATGAGGGAGATGGAAAGAGTGAATGAGAATTGTAATTGCTTTGGAAAGCATGATGTTCTGTTCATGTTCACATTTGGACAGAGTCACTTCTTGGAGTAGCTCTTTTACCCTGTGTAAAACAATAATGAAAAGGTTAAGAGGGAATGTAATGGATAATTGTTTTAAAGGTAATAAATATATAATTGATTTCAAGCCTGCATTTTGCAGTAATCCAATCTTGCTCCCACTGGACTCCACAACACTTTAGAGATTCACTTGAAATGAATCAGGTTGCAGAGTTTCCACAAAGTAAAATCCAGCACTTAAATAAACTCTTTATTCTGAAATTCCAGGGTTGTCTTCAAAGATGCATAGTACTATTACTTCCATTATACAGATGTAGATGCTAATGTTACACAGAGTCAGCCAGATAGTCAGGTGATGAAAAAAACCAGAATAATTCACAGCCTGCTTAAATAAATGAACTTCAATGAAGCTACAGATTGTATTTCCAATGGATAACTTATAATTTTGATTATTTACAAGGGAAGTTCAGATTCTCCTTGGAATCCATTTTTAAACACCGTTTGAAAACTGTATTTCAAATTTTTTTCAAAAATCAAGTATTACTTTATCTATATGCACTGATAGTATACCTCTTATTGCCTTCCCTAAATCCCCAAATTAGCCTAAGGGCTCTTGGTAGTGCAGGTAAACTACTCACTGCAGGGAAGGACAGTGGTCGAGGCAGCTGTGCTACTGCAGCAAGGGGAGAGGGTGAAGGAGGCCAGGATGGGATGGGGCAGCCAGCACCAGTAGTGCTGCACTTACCCTGCATGAACCCACCTGCTCCCCACAGCAGGGCAGCAAAATTCCCCAATTTCTGCACTGGGGAGGATGCATTAGTACTGCTGCAGCAACAACCACACAGGTGGCACTTGGCCTCTCCTGGACCTCAAACTCAGGCTTAGCATCTGCAGATTTGCAAAAATCTTTCATGAGTTGGGACTGAATCTTCCCAGTTTTCTCTAAAAGTGTCTGGCAAACACAGAAAGTGCATTTACAGCTTGTATCTTCCAACACAGCCTCCAAACTACTGTATGTTTGGTCTGCTTCCCATCAGGGCACCCATACCTGCAGTTTGGTTGTAGGGATCTTCCCAGTCCTCTAATGCACTCTCATTCCCCTGGGACAGGTTGTATATGTCAACAGGCATTTGCTTTGCATCCTTATTCTGGGTCCTAGTTCACAGCTGAACATTGTTTAAACTTCTTGTGGCATAGAAGCACCTGGACTCCTTCCTAGGGCACGATGAAGATTTCTAGCAGTTACTTTATACTGATGGTTTTATCTTGCAGCAATGAATTACTTCTCTTCTGTCTGATAATTCAATGTGTTTCAGTTGGAAATTATGTATTAAAAGACTCAGCAAACTGAAAATTAGCAGTGATTTTCTTTCCTTTTTTTTTTTAATAATAAAATCAACCAGCGTTTCCAAAAATACTCTTCCTTTTCATGTGTCAATCACAAGCCAGAAACTGCTCTTGAATTATCGCTGCTTGTAGGAAACTGCCTTAACTTTACAGATACCAGAACAAAGTGCTTATTTTTGTTATCATGAAAGAAAAACTCACACGTCCTTCAGCCTGCCTATATTTCAAAGCCCATCAGAAGCAGAGCAGCAGGTGTAGCAGTTTCTCACATTCAGATGGAAACAGTGATGATGAATTGCATATATGCCCCCAGATCTCTGCCCCTCCTCCAAAAGCCAATCTCTCAGATTAGGCTGAACACAAACAGGGCTGCACAGGACCACCTGCTCTCCCTTGTGCTACATGTGCTACATAATATGTTCTCTAAGCCCAGATGTGCCTGGAAATGTAGTGAATCCAAGTTCAGAGGAGGCAACTAAGGGCAGCGGGGTATAATGGAGTGGGCTGCAGAAAAAGATAATTTATTTTCCAGTTGATAGACTGCTGAGAGTCTCTTTCCAAAATGTATCTCTTGCCTGTTTAGTAAATGCTACTGTACACAATGCAACAACATTTCTGCCATCAGCTTACAGCAGAGACTGGTTTTCTTAGAGGAGTTTGGGCAGCAGCAGCTGCTACAGAGCAGGAGCTCACAGTGTGACTAGAAAGTCTTTTTCCCTGTGCACCTTCATGTCTTCCTTCTGTATGAAATCCTACTTGTACAGGTTCCTGAGTGATTTAATCAAGGGGCTGGTTAGTTCATGGGATACATTTTTCCACCTTTTGTCTATATCTAGTTCACACTTTGTAGCTTTGGAGACCTGGCACTAACATAATTTCTCACTGTAACTTTCACTATATGCCAAAATGGATAAATCTCATTCCAAATATGGTTCTCAGACCTGACATTTCAAGGACAGCTAAACTGCCAACCATTTTATGTTTGCATCTTAATTTATTAAAAAAACACAAATAAAACAATCAACAAATAACAAACCCAACCAACCACAAACTCCCCCCAAATTAAAATGGATGGAACCAATGTATACTTGCAGTCCAGCTTAAATTGTTCAGGTAGTCCCTTTTGTCAAATGTCCTTCTGCTTGCTTAACCACCTGGTAGCAGAAATGAGATGAGAAGACTGGCAACAAGAAATATGGTGCTGGTAGGAAGGAGACTGTTATGAAAAACATGAGAGACAAGGAAACACAGCTTCTCCAGTTTGGTCTGAGGAGCTGCAGAGCACGTCCCAGATGGCACACTAGACACTCCCAGAACAAGGTGATTTCTTTAATCAGAGGGATCTGAAGGCAGCTGAGAGTCTGCCATATATGAAACATAATGTGCTTATGGAGACAGCTGCTGGCTTTGGCTCTGACAGCAAGGGGGAACCTCTGCCAGGGCCTAGCAGCCCCAGTGCCTGCTGTGATTTAGAAACAAAGTTCTTTTCACCTGGGTGCCTGCGTAAAGTGCAAAGCCTCTTGGGCCCTTAGTCCCTGCCCCAACCCCAGATACTCACATTGGGGCTGGGAATGTTGTTCTCACCCCTCCAGCCCTGCTGCCAAGCTGGGCACCTGCGTGGCAGTGCAGAGGGCTGGCTGGTCACTGCAGCGCTCCAGGGCCACACCACCATCCCAGTGTGGACACTGGAGACAACAGTACCACGTGCCAAGTGCGCCTTGGGGGTTTATGTGATTCACGTGATTTCATGGAGTGAAACAAGAGCAGAGCAGTAAAAGGTATCAAGAGGCACTTTTGACCAGAGGCTGATCAGAGAAGCGTATTTCAGATGGGTCAGAGGGAGCTGACGAGATGAGGATCAGCGCAGGAAAAATGTGGAAAAGGAAAAGAGAGAGGGGGAGAGAAGAGAAAAGCATATGAGGTGATTTCTGTTACTTTTTATTGGTGTTGCAGACTTTATATTTGATAAGAAAAGCATTTGTCATGTTAAAATACCCCAGTACTTCAGTACAAGTCCTCATAGTTGCAGAGATGCCATCTTCTATGTCTCTGATTTCTCCCTCAGGTTTTATAGATTCCATGTCAGTGTTTGTCCCCAGTCCCCAAGACAGTCTTCCCAGCTCAGCACATTCAGTTCTGCCTGTTTTTACTTTTCTTATCTTACACGGTTTCAGTTTACAGACTCTCAGAGCTCAGTGACAGCCTTCTCAGTGACAGTGAGCCAAGGTCAGGCAACAGTGCTGCACAAAACCAGCCAAAGGCCAAGGCCAGCTGGGGCCCTGGGCTGTGGACCACGCTGTGTTCCTGAGTGTGAGAGCATGATATTCTGTGCACACAATAAACTGAAATATGTATACAGTCTGTATGCATGTACATTATATATACATTATATATATAATGTGTATATATATATATATACATTAAATATATATATATATTTATGTGCATATACATAAATTCTTTCACGTTTTCTGTCTCTCAAAATACACAGTAAACTGAACAACATGTCCTGGGAACCTTCACAGTCAGGAAGAAGTCATACAGCTTCAGATAAACAGACTGCTAAACTATAAATGCCCACCCCATGTTAAATACAATTTCTGAGGTTTAAATAAAATTTTCAATGCTTTCTTATTCCTTTAGATCAGAATTATTGCCGGACAAAAAGTAGAACCACCCCTCTCAGCTCCCCCTAAAAAGCTGTTTCCCTGCTACCTTGCCTCCCTGCAGCAAGAATTTACAAAAATCTCTCAAGAAAACCACAGCTCTGCTTTTATAGTAAGATTTTAAGGCTAGAAACAACCTGCTTTAGTCATGGCCATGTTTAAAAGAACTGTTTAAGGTGTCAGAATTTCAGTCTTGGGCATCAATTCACAGACATTTGGCAGAATTGTGTCCAGTTTCTCACTATTCACTGGATCTGACTTTTGCTACCACTTTCCCCCCATTTTATTACTTTCTACATATCAAAGTCCAATTTTAAAAATAGCTCTTAATTTTTGTGTCATTCCTTCATGAATCTGAGTAGGAAAAAAACCCCAACATCCCCTAATCAATTTGAAATGTTGCAAAAATCACCACTTTCAAGCTTTCTGGGAAAGATATCAACTTATCAAATATCTGCATGCTCATACATATGCACCTCTTCTCCTCTTAGGTCAAGTTATAATAACAAAATAATGTCTCCTGGTTTTCCGATCCACTGAAAATTGTTGCATACATACACTTTTCCTTTTCTTCAGAACTCATGGCAGTTTGTAAAATCCTGCTGTCAGAATTAGAGTGACAACACAGTGTCACAACACAAAATGACAACACAGTTCACAGAACTTAAGTCTGAACATTTCAGAGGATACCTGAGGCCAAAAGGGAAATAAAACTCTCGATTTGTAGTCCAAGTATCAGCCTGGAAGAAACCTAATTAAATTAATTACAAAATGCTTATCACAAGAATATTTTTTTATAAATTTTATGATTCTGGTATTTTGAGTTGTAATATAGAGTTAAATTTATCCTACAAAGACTGATTTTAAATTATTCCATGAAAAGGCTTAGAGAATTAAAAAATAGTTATGCTAAAATGACTTTATGACAATGGGTGATGGTGAAGAATTTGAGTGCATTAGAGAGACATCTGCTTTGCAAACCAAAAAAAAATTACCAAGGTGGACTCAATGACACTCCAAATGTTGCTTAATTCTTCTGTCTCACCTCTAAAACCAGATCTACAAACAGCATTGTCACTAACAACATCTATTACAGCTATCAAAAAAAAAAAGCATAGTAAGGTAGCGTACAGGAGGGAATTTAGGAACACAGAACTGGATAATTGTTTCTGGGGAATTGGAGACAAATGTATCATATAATTGATTTCATAAGTTGATCAAAATACATCCTAAATTAAAGTGACAGGAAACTCATAGGGGAGATAGAAGGGACACTGGAGGTTAAAGAGACCAATTTTTGTCTTTTTCGTGCTTACCCACACAGCCACAGCAGCCATAAGGCACAATAACTCATCAGTTGCTCAGCTGCACAATTACTTTTAAGCTGTTTCATTTATATGTAATTTGATTTATGAAACAGATCATGCATTAATACAAGGAAAAAAAATCTCATCACTGAAGATGATTCTTCTGCTGCCCCGGAACTGACAAAAGAGCCACCACTTTGGGAGGTGGGAGACTCACTCTTCACCCCAAGGCTTAGCACAAGTAGCTAAGTGCTCACAGAAGGCAAATGTTATTTTGGACAGATTTAAAAAGAAAAGTAATTTATATTTCTTCATTTCCCCCATCAGCTGTCAGCTGTGCCTTGCGGAAATGAGTAACAATTTGTGGTATTGGGCACTACAGAGATCTTAGTAGTTTGTGAAGTAGTTTTCAACTGGCTTTTATACAGCATTGGAAAGTTCACTTTTCACTTGGTATCTTCCGGCTCAGCTTTGCCACTCTGCATTTGAGCAGGGGTTGACTGGGTATTAGGTTTGATTTGCCTTTAGTAAAGTAATTCCCGTGTCAGGCCAAAGTACCACAGTGGATAACTGTGTCTGTTTTGCATTCAGATGCCTCTGAGAAGGAAGGTACCTGTACTTATAACTATTTCTTTTTACAACAATATAAGTGCATAAGAAAGTAAGAGCTTTACCATCAGTGATCCAGGAGCACAAGGAACAGAGACTCTGGCAATTCAGGTGCTGCGCAATTTGAAAACGTAACATCTTTTTGTAAAGGAAATGAGGACTGTTTTTCAGTAATCATCAATGTATCTTCAGCACCTAATATAAATTCAGAGAATCCAGCATATTCTTTTGATAATAGATGAAGTGAAATCATATAATTTGGAAGTGTATGAAATATTTAAGTATCCGATGATTTTCTAAAATGTGTAGTTCTAGATTTCTGAGACCGAGGAAGTGAAAGAGAGAAAGAGATTATGTTACTAACTTGGGGAAGCAAACCCCCATATTGCATAATGGCCCGTTGTATCCCACCAATTAAAAACCCTTATAAAAGTACTTTAAAAATGTAACTTATTTTCAGTGGACAGACCTGGTTGTCTATTGAAGATAATCAACTCATTTCCTTTTGAGTACAATTATTCCAGAAAAGTCTTTCATCAAAAAACATAATCCACAGTGATAAATCACTTGGAGCAATAAAATCACTTGCATGAACAAACACAGCTTCTGTCAGTAATTGTGCTTCCTTGCCCTAGGCACAAGTTTGTTACATATGGGAAGCGATAATACTTGTGGTTACAGTTCCCAGTATCATTTTCCTTTCCCAGTTCACACTTACTCATACCTATGCCTACCCAGCAGCAGTTACATAAGATGCAATTCCCAACATTTATAATCCACCTCTTGCAAACAATAAACCTCATCAAATTAGCCCCTGACGTGCTTTGTACTAACAAAGTAATTTGCAGATCCATCATAAAGTATCAGGACTATTATTTGTCTGCAGTCAGTACGGACCTTTTTTCTGACAGTGTTACCTGCAAGCTCTTGGTTATATGAACTCTTAGTTGCTGTCATATAACTCAGGCAAAAGGACAAATTCAGTGCAATCTCTTTCCTGCATTTCTGGGAGCTGGAGTACACGTCCATCTGATCCAACATCATGAGATGTCCCAGAAACAACATCAGCAATGCTCAAGACCACTGATTTCTACTGGTGGTGTCCATTGCACCCTACACATTATGGCTTTTTGGGGGACCCTGAACCCTGCCATTACCTTGACTAACCTGTTCACTTGTTTAGCTGTGTATAGTTCTGTTTACAGACTATCCTTCACTTCAAGCCCTTTCTACATGGCAGTCATCAAAGCAGAGAATGTTCCTTTCCTCAGTACATTTGTTTTCCCTATTTTTAAACCTCCTCCCTAGGACAGGTTTGTTGCTCTTCTCAGAGGAACCTTGTCCTCATCTACTCACCTAATCCTATATCTAAGTACTACAAAGAAAATTTAATGTGTAACTTGAAAGGTAACAGCCACAAATTATTTACTTCCTCATCAACATTTCCTAATTATTATGTATAACTTTCTTTGTCTAGCCATTTCCACACCCTTGAAATAGACATTGTCACCACATTTCTTTAAAATTTGCAGTATATAGGAGATGTTCAGGCCCTCAAATTTTACTGGTAGTCATCATGAGACAATAATAACTCAGGTTTGTCTCTGCAGTCCTTGTGCCAGATTCATCCAGCAGGTAAGTTCTACCTGCCCAATCATTCTGAAAGTCGGGTTTTTTTGACTGACAGTTGTTTTCAGTGAACAAGAATTCATATTCCGCTTTTCATAGCCATCTTTGAGAAATGAGAGAGGTATAACAGCATGTTAGGAAAAAGAATATCTGCTTAATGTCAAAGTAGTACCCTGTCTCTCAGCAAAGACTGTCATTAGTGTCAGCAGTGGATGTAGCTGCTACTCCAACCTCTCAGCTGTGTTAAATGATAGGAAGCAAAACCAGAGGGCTCTGGCATCAGTGGGGGGTGGCACATGGAGCAGAAGGATTAACAGGAAATGTACACATGCATTAGAAAAGACACCACAGAATTTTTGCTACCACAAAACAATAAGGCAAACAAATAAATAAACAACTACTCTATCTTATTCCTTTCTGTTGACTTGAAATAGACTTGGAAAAAAAAATGCACAGTTTACACTGGATTCCAGTTTAAGCATAAACTTAAGGTTATAGCTTTTTTTCCAAACAAAATGCAACTAGGGCACTAGCTAAAAGGGAAACATAAATGATTACTTAGCTCAGGTCTGATCTTACAGAGTCAGCAAAAGAAGCAAAAGTAAGATCAGGACCTTACCCATGGGAGAGAAAAGCATAATATGCATGTCTCTGTTATATAAAACCTAGTACACTTGTATTGGTTTAGCAGGTTGTATTATACTCCCTTCATGCTTGTATAAAATGAATAACGAGCAATGTATTCTTTTTATACATATATATAGCATGCAAAGATTACAGGAAAGTGAAAAAGATATAAAGCCTGAAAGAAAGCAGGTCACTGTGGGCTCAGTGACCAACCTGGATGACAGGCATCTGAAAATACGCTTCTTGGTCATTGTAACATTAAGCTATGAAAAATCCTCCCCTGTGAATACTGTTATGTGCTCTTCTTTAACCCAGCATTCACTAAAAGCTGCATCATAACCAAAACCCCAAACACTGGGGTTTTGCATATAAGATCATGATATTATTTGTGCTCTCGATTTAAATAATTGATTTTTTTATTATTTTCTATTCTTTTATTAAAGCAAAATTGATTCCGGATTTACCATTGGAAAGTGTCCATAGTAGCATATAATGCCATGAATTAATATGCTGTTTTGCTGACCTGGAACCATCACAT